CGCTCGCTCTCCTCCGGCGCGTTCGTCTCGTCCCCGCTCAACCCGAACCACCCCGCCTCCCCTCCGCCCCCGCCCCAGCCGCGCTCCCGCCCCGTCTCGCGCGCGGGCAGCATGCTCTTCACCCGCATCGCGAGCGAGGACTCGCAGGTCCTCACCGGCCAGCGCGGGTCCATGCTGCTCTACCGCCTCGCGAGCGACGACGACAACGGCGAGCTGCTCCCCCCGCCACGCGCCCTCGCCGGCGGCAGCAACCGCGACTCGGTCATCTCCAGCTCCGGCGACTCCGTCTTCTCCATCTCCTCCGACTCCAAGTACCCCTCCGGCTCGCTCACCCACCCGCGCGGGCTCATCCCGTACGCGTACGACCCCACCGTCGACGACAAGGAGGACATGGACGCGGACTGGGACGATGTGGACGGAAAGCGCGCAGGCGGGTGGTGGAATTGGCGGGGAGTTGCCAACGTCGGTTTGCTCGTCATTCTGATCCTCGCACTGCTTATGCTCTTCGTGTTCTACCCCGCGTTCGAGCACTTTCGCGACTTGGACACGGTCATCGCGATCAGCGATAACACGCAGGTGAACGGGACGGGGCAGGTGCCAGTTCTGTGAGTGATCTTCAATTATATATTATGTTTTCAATTTTATCATTTTCCATTCATTTCATCTTCATTTCGCGCACCCTTACGCACCCCTCCGAGGGAATCCGTGATATCTTTGCATTACCATTTCCTTCTTTTCACCGCCCTCGACCCTCTCCTTCGAATCCTTTATTCCCGATTCTCGTGCAGGGTACCTATGCGGATCGGGTTCGCCGTGCGCCAGCCTGCTCGACACGGGCAGGGGTACACGCGTTTGGCGGTACCCGTGACATACTTGGTCTCGAAAATGCGTCTTCGGGGCGCTTTCGAAACCGAAACCCCCGGGCGCCCGCGTACCCGTATTTCCATCTTTCTCGCCTCTACCCGCTCTTTCGCCGGTCCTTCCCATCCCTCCGAAGCTGTTTTCCCGAGGGAATCTCTTAATGTCTTTTCATTGTCATCTCCTTCCTTGCATCTCAGCCATTCCCTGTTTCAGATTGTGTTTTATGCCTTTCATTCTCGATTTTCGTCCAGGGTACCTCTACAGATCGGGATCGTCATGCCCGAGCCCGCTTGAACATCAGCTGTTTGAACAATTCGGGCAGGGGCGAACACGACATTTATTCTTTATTCCGTCCATCTTTCGTTCACCTTCTGCCCGTCCTGCTTCTCATTTCGAACATTTAAACCCCAAATCCTTTCTGGTGCCTATGGGGATCGATGTCGGTTGCGATCCGTCGTGCGGCAGCCGCTGGGCTACCGAGCTGTTCCAACAGTCCAGGCAAGCCTCAGCTGGCGGAACGACCGCGCGATCACCATCGATCCCGCTCTGCCTCCTTGCCGTCTGCGCCACTCTAACCGCCTGCTAACTCCGCTTCCAGCTTCCAAATGCCGCAATTGATCGACCCCGAGACGCCCTCCGACGCGCGCTCGCGCACCGGCTTTGACGGGCACGCCTACGAGCTCGTCTTCTCGGACGAGTTCAACACACCCGGGCGCACCTTCTATCCGGGCGACGACCCCTTCTGGGAGGCAGCCGACATCTGGTACGGCTCCACGCAGGACCAGGAGTGGTACGACCCGCGCCAGGTCACGACGACGGAAGATGGTCACCTGAGGATCGTGATGGAGCAGGTGGAGACGCATGGCTTGCCGTATCGCAGCGGGATGCTGCAGAGCTGGAACAAGTTTTGCTTTTCGAGGGGGTACATTGAGATCAGTCTGACGCTGCCCGGGCCGGACTCGAATACGCAGGGTTATGTGAGTGTAGCTTCATCTGTACCATGCCCTACTGACGTGCCTGGGTCGTATAGTGGCCTGGCGCGTGGACGATGGGGAACCTGGGCCGTCCGGGCTATCGGGCGACGACGGACGGCACTTGGCCGTACTCGTGCGTCTTCGTTTCGTATCCGGCTTTGCGCTAACTAAGAGTCTGGGCACCTGCAGCTACGACTCGTGCGACATTGGCACGTTCCGCAACCAGACCACCAAGGACGGCACGGGCCCGGCGGCAGCGCTGCACTCTGATCAGAGCAGATCAAAGTACAACTATGAGCTCTCGTGGTTGCCTGGACAGCGGTTATCGTGCGTGTCTTTTCGCTGCTCTCTCCTCCGTTGCTGCTCTGCTCTCCGCCGCCCGTCTCACACCTCCACCACATCTCCCACCGCCGCAATCCCTCACCCTCCACGTGCCACTCGTCTAGCCTGTCACTGTCGCTAACGCACACTCGTAGCGCCTGCACCTGCTCCGGCGAGGAGCACCCCGGCCCGTCGCCCTCCAAGGGCCGCGGGGCGCCCGAGATTGACATCCTCGAGGCGGAGAAGGACAAGGAGACGAACGTCGGCCAGGTCGTCTCGCAATCCGCGCAGTTTGCGCCGTTCACGCACGACTATCTGTACGCGAACGATACGGTGGATAAGTGGAAGATATACGATGAGACGATTACGAGGCCGAGTAGCTATCGGTGCGTGCTCTCCCTTTGGCTTGAGTTTCGTGCTGCGGGTGGCTTCGATGGTGCGTGCGGTGGGCAAGAGCCAGGCTGGCGTTGGGCTTCGGGATGCGGGTGTGTAACTGCGTGTATCGTGCTGTCAGGTACGTTCTATTTGCTCAGGTCTATCTAATACAAGTGTTCTACAATTCGCCCCCGATGACTTCAGCCCCGCGTCGCACGCTGACCCCAGCATGCAATCGTCACCTTTCCCCTCCGATGTCGTGCTTTCTCGCGAGCTCGCAGAGCTTCCGGCCTGCCCTTCGAGTCCCGCTCGGCGCTCGAGGTGAAGGCCGTGAGCGTTGTGACCCTTGTGTAGTGTCTACGCAATACGCCGACATGTTCGCTGGCGCCATCAGCTACATACAGTGCCGGCCGTTGAAGTCACCGTGACCGCTCGCCAACTGAGGCCGACGCGTCTACCAGCGGCCGTGAATATGATGTCGACACTCAACGAGTCAATGTGTAGGTAGGGCGTGTGCATGCTGGTCCCCGTCCTGGACCCGGCCTCAACCCTCTTGGGCAATCGGTCAGCCTTGTAGCTACGCACACCCGTCGAAGCCCTGCCACGCGGGCTCTAGCCTTGCGGGTGGTTATCACATGGCTCAGAGCATTCGCCTGCCGCAACAGGCGCTATGCTGGGCGCGGGCGTCCCGAGCTCTGGTCTGTGCGTTCAGCGCTCTCAGTGCGGTCACGGTCATCGGCGCGCGCATCGGTGGGCTGGCATTTCTAGTGCCGTCTCGCTGTCGACGACGGGGACTCGACCGTTACGGGAGTCGACCCGAACATTCAACGCGCCGATGGGGACTCGACCATTGCAGGAGTCAAACCCGTTCGGCCCGAGGTGGGTGGACTGCGTGGTCTACGACGACTACTTGAGCGTTATTGTACTCTAGCCGGCTCCGTGAGTATTTACTACTCAGTAATCTATTTCTCTGGCGCCCCTAGAAATGATGTGAGACAAAAGCCTGATTAGCTGGCAGACTAAGTACCCACTAATAAAATATACATGTCACATCTCGAACTAAAATTATCAGTATTAGTAATGAGTTGAGTACGAGCCAAATCATTCAAGAGCTCACCGAGACTACTGAATCCGCTGTTCACTGTCCGCTGGCAGCAGGCTGATGCGCGCTACTCGCCAGCAGTTCACGGCGATAAAGCACACCACGTTCACCCCGCATTGGATTGGATCCGCTCGACGAGCGTGCATCTGCACCCTAACGATGGTGTACGACGACTCGGTACGCTAGTGTGCTCTACCCTGTATGTTATTGATACTTTGGTTGCTACCTTTCATATAAGCCTCGAGGCTAGTCAGTAAATAGGCGCCGAGTGACTTGAATTCAACGGCTTACGACTACAGTCTTCGCGTATAGAATGCTATGCGTAGCGCTCACTGTGCTCAGCGTGGCGTGCAATCTCTCTATTTCGAATTGTCAGTCGTCAGAGGATGCAGAAGTAGCATTGCACGCAAAAGATTACCCTTGTATTCTGAGATCCGTTTGACGCAATAAGCAAATGCTTATCTCCTGTCATCCGCCAGCCTGAGCAGATCGATAAGCATTTTCTATAGAGCGGTGGAATTTCAACTACATACCCCTACTCAGCTCTGCCGTATACGCCTGCGTAGGTAGTAACACCCACGGCTGCAGAGCCTGCATTAGAGGCATAGGCAATACAAGGATTAGTCGACGTACCATAGTCGACTACCCTACAAAGGCAGGGTCAGTGACGCAGCGTGAGTAACACCTACCAACTGCCCGCATAGTTCCTGCTTGAACATGTTAGCTACGGGGTATTAGACAAGCCAATAGACACTTACAACCGACGTCAGGATCCACTATATGGTACCAACGGCCGTTGTAGACGGCGAAGGGGGCGAAGGGGGCAGAGGGGAAAGGGAAGGGGACAGACGAATGAATTTTTCTAGCGGAGGGATGGGGCATTAAATACCTGTCCGCGTCGCCAAATCCCCCAATGTTCCGACTTCCGGCGAGAGAATCGGCGCAATGGAGTGACCCTGGTTACGGAGTCACTGTCAATGCGCGGCATTCGGGGTTCTTCCAGGCACTCCAAATCTGGGGGAATGCGCGGCTCGCGTAACATACGTATTAGCGGAAATAGACGGAAATGGTGTCCCTTGACATTCACTGCTGGAGAATTCCAATCATTTGGAAGGTGCATTGGCACGGAGCTGGCGTATCGACAATAGCTAAATGTCCTGGACTGCATCCCGCCTGACTAGCTCACCGAGGCTACAAATGGACCCACCGAGTGCGTTATGATTACCTGACTTGATCAGGAGCACCATGGACCGCGGCGGTTGCAGATGTGGTCCTAGACGCTTTCGAGAATTCGTCAGCAAAGCCTGCAGAACACCTCGTGGTTACTCACCACCTCGCCTGTCTGCCACCAATCACGCAAGCCAGATGATTCCGGCACCATAGTTCGAGTTCCCCGCCCTGGAAATTTGCTGTTACCCTGAGATGTCTCGGCAGCTTGAAGCGTGGAGTAATGCCGCACGCCGAAGGTGTCGCGCCACCACATCACGTTTCACAATAGCGGGGAGCAATTGTTGAACCCTCTGCCCTCGCGAGACGCAATGCGCTTGCGTGGAGTGCTCTCGATAGTTGCAAGTTCCTAGCGACTCTCGTCAGCGTACGTACTTACTTACTCGGTGTCCATTTCCTCTCCAGCCTCCGTTAGCTGTTCAGGCCATACGATGGCCTCAAGGAATAAAGCAGGAGACCGTTGGACTCACGTATATATTGCCGACTCGATAACTTACAGACTACTGTATATACCTGCTATTGTACGGAAGTCAGACACGAAAGAAAGCTGCACAAGAGGGAAGCTTACCTCCGAAGATTCCCGTCGCTGTCTTGCAAGCTGCGCGGCATCGCGAGTTTGCCGATATTGCAACGTCTTCGGCAAATGAGCGCGCTTCCCTTCTCGATTGGTTTGTCAACCGTTCGGTACCTATCTGCCATTGTAGATTGCGCATCTGTGGTACAGCCCTAACTACCTCGCGAAGCGGAGTAGCCTGAGTGTAGTTCAGCCTCACACTGCTGAAGCTGGCCTCTCAGATCGAACTCGCCGAAGGAAAGATATCTATTATCTAGAAGTTGACGTACCTCTGAGAGCTGCGATATGATGTCCAGACTGCGAGACACTTTATCCACAGGTACAGCACCCGATACCGGATGCCTAACGAGTAGACAATGCGCCTTGACCGAGAGAGTCCCTGCTCAATATGACGAGAGAGATAATTATCCAATGTACCGCGTAGCGAGAGACTTGTCTGCGGGTAGACTGTCCGGTAATGGATCTTCGGGGTGTAGTAACATGCACTCACGAGTGATTGAGGCATTGACCACATCGCGGTCTCGATTTGATTGTGCTCGGAGCTACAGCGACTGGGCATGCGGGGGAAGAGCGAGGGTGACTTTCCGACGCATCAAACACCATACGAGGCACTTTGTCTGCAGATAACTATATAGATAGAGCATCTCGTCGATCTGTTGGCATCGCCGTGCAGTATACGATCCCGAGACATACAAGACAAACAAACAGTGTCATTAGCAAGCTGGGATGAATCTATATCACCTCGCACATCGCGCTTGTCTCGTCCCGGCTCCTCATGCCTCCCATGGCAATTCCTCGTCCTTTGCCTGCTGCGAACCGCCTTTGCTATATCCAGCGTGTTAAGAACCTATTGCCACCGCCAACTCTTCTGTCCTTAGTTCCATTGCTGCAATACAGCAGCGAGCACGAGCTACATACAAATGTGTGGCTTGCGCAGTCGGCACGTCAACATGCAGACCATACCTGGGCTGCAAACGTCGCCGACAGCGCAAGTCACAGCTTGATGCCTTAGGACGCAAAGCCCTGTAAGGGCTGATATGAGTTCGGAGGGAGCGGGGGTCGTGATTGCAAGGGGACGTCAGGATGTTGTAGAGTCGGTGGATTGCTTGGCGAGCATAGCGAGAAGGTGCGAGAACAAGTCGCGAGACGATGTGTACTGAGTTCATACATGTCCCGGAGCAGAGAGACGGGATGGAAGCAATGACCAGGGGACTCGGAGTAGGGAATGAGGAGAGCACAGCGTCGGACTTGCAGCAGCCGTCGCGCGGCTTGGAATCGATCGCGATGCTCTCACCGTTTGTGTCCACTTCCGTACCTCCGACTCATCCACTGGCACTCGCTCTAGCGTGTGCAATCCCTCGACTAACGCTGCAGACGCCATTTGCAACTGTCGCGAGAACGTGCGAGTGTATCGTATATTTATTGAATTAATGAATTACAGTCATAAATCTAGTCGGCGTTGTCAGTGGCGGTCGCGATACAACTGAACAGTGCAGATGTACCTAACGGGATGCAGACAACCCGTGGAATAGAGCAGTGGGCTAACTAGCAGAGGACACACTCTGTAAGTCCAGTAGCATGATGTGGGAATCCACTACTGATACAATGAGGCTGGAATGTCGAGGACAAGTCCCGACTGCCAGGCGGCAGTTGGACAGAGTCGGATCGGACCGTCCGATGGATGCGGAAGACTCTCCCCGACCACTCGGAGCATCCTGCAGTACTTCGCCTTACTGCTCTGACTTTGGTTGGTACGTAGGCTGTGTGATCGGGTGATGTACGGTAGATTACAGTAGATCTACCTTGAACTAAAACTGATCGGAGCACCCTGACCTCAGAGAAGCCGCACACTTCTCTGAGCTCAGGGCTGCTCTTCCCTGGACTCGGCTAGCTAGGTCTGCCTCGACAGTCGAAAGAACAGATGGGATTTTATTGTTCCAAGGCCCACTTTAGGACTTGGATATGGACCCTCACTGGACTTGAGGCATGCAATAGGTTACAGAAAAATAAATGACTTGAGGTCGCATTTTCGGGAACACTGCTGTCAGGGATGGCAAGCTGTGCCGGAAGCCTTCTCGAAGACACCATAATTGAGAAGCAAGGGTTCTCAGTTGCGGCGTCTCGGAGAAGGCTTCCGGCACTCGCCAGCCACCCTGTCTCAGAAGCACTGGATCAGCCGGGCCAACGGCGCTTCGTACGACGCGGTCAATATATAAACTCAGCTCACGAAACTCGCTCGGGCGCAACTATGCCCCCACTATGCTTGTCTGCGCTGCTGGCTCCGAGTCGATGTTCACAGTTATCTGTGGTGCTGGTGAGTCCCCTTGATGTGATAGACGGCTCTTGCACTAAAGAATTTATGAGTAAAAAATTACAGAATGTCTACACACACGTCCGCGCGAGGCGACGGCGGCAATACATCGAGGAGGTGCCTTTACTTCCGATCCTGTAGACATGCGGGGTGACTGTCGAGACCCGCATCGACTGGCCTCGACACATGCCGGGCACCTCCAAGGTACGAATCCATGGACCACGTCTGCCTGATACTCCCGCTAACCCGGTAAACGTGCAGGCAACGCAGAGCGCACGCAGCAGCGAGGCGAGCGAGATCTCGAGAGATAAAGGCGATCGCGATCGCGGCGACGAGTGGCAGTGCGACGCACGTGGCGACGCTGTATCCGGTGGTCATCTTCGAGCTCGTCGTCTGCGACGCTCGCTGGCTCTCGCAGACCGGTCAGCCGCCATTCGCTGTCTCGCAAGGTATCTGGATTGCGACCATGCGACAAATCTACAAAATGCACGAATAGCTTTGTCCTGACTCTGACGCGTCGGATAGCCTTGCGTACGTCCAGTCCTGACTCTGTCGCGTCGAGACTGGCCTTTGCTTTCGTCAGACTGTTCCCCCCGGCCTACTTTCTCCCCGACGACTTTATCAAGATGTACTTTGGCGAAATGCAAAGGCTTACCGCGGAGGGGGGGGGTGGAGGATAAGTGGAAACTTGGGTCAAACCGCTGAGGCTCTGATTGTGCGTCTTCGAATATCTATCATGATTCGCTCTTTCTTACTGTGCATGAATTTCTGCTCTTTGTCGCAGGAAGCTGATCTCACGCGAATACCCGTTCGAGACGTTGCGGTCCGCACGCGCCGCTCGCCTCCCCTCGCCGCCCAGTCCCTGACGACACTCGACCGTACGCAAGGCTTCAAGTTGACAAGACACTCGCGCGCCCGCGGAACGTGGGAGCGCTAGAGTCCGAATGACGAGTGGCAAGAAGGCGACCGCGCGTCGCGACGAGTCCCCTCCCTGGCTCGGACCTTCTGCGACGTGCTTGAGCGGTCAAATAGGTGACTAGCGATGCCGCGAACTTGTCAAGGCACACCAACACCCCGATTCAAGGACTGCCTTGCGTACGAAATTCCAGGCAGTGCTACATCCACAACAACAACGCGGCGTGCTCGGAGAGCGTCTGTGGATTGCTTCGTGACTTCTGCAGTGGCAGTCCGAAGCGGTTTGTTGTAGAAATGGTACGTGAATTGGTCCTTTTCAGTCCTTGATCATTCAGCTGACCTGCACACCAATATATAGATAGACTTTGTCTGTAGACCAGCAATATATTGTGCTTGCAACTTAGTATCGAGCGTCCCTGCTTGCACCGTCTCCCCGACTGCATTTCGGCTTACCCCTCAAGACCGGGAGGGCTTCGCGCCTCGGTTGTTGACTTTGCATAGGATATCCCCACGCAGTCAACGTGCTCGCGAAGCTCGCGGCTCACGCGTTCTCGAGCACATGCGAAAGAGTGTTCGCGAGACCGGTTTCGTGCGGTATGTCTCTCGCATTTCTCGTCGTTCGCCTTATCTGACAGTCTGGTCGACTTTCCACAGGATCCTATGCCCCTGCCGACTTTGGAACCCGGAGCCGTCGACTTGGGGCCGCACGCGTCTGCTAGGACCATCGCGTCCAGCCTGTGCTCGATCCCCCGACCTCGTTATGCATGCATGGCTGCTTCCCGTCCTCGCGTCTGCTGTCTCGCTGGCTCCACGACTTGTTCTTCTCCCCGCCATCACCTCTGACTCCCGCGCCGTGGCGTGTCCCGTACGCCGTCGGTTCGACGCTACCGGTCCCGCCTTCCCGCTCCCGCAAGATTTATTCGGCATGACGAAGTAGCTATGGATCGAGCTACGGTGAGCACGAGCACGAGATACGCGGTCAGTCTCGCGCTCCCGAAGCTAGCTCGGTAAGACCTATACTGCTCGACGCCTTTTACTTGCTGACTCGAGTGCGCCGCTAGGGAAACACGGGTCGTATCCTCGTCCAACAAGTCGGTATAACTGCGTACAACGGCGCATCGGCACCGACTTCCTGTATTCGGTGGCACATCTATTCCCGACGACGCTTCCCTCTGCTCCTTAGACCCCTTGCTATGCTCTAGAGAACTGCGTGCACGGCCTACCTCCGGTGAGTCTGTTTGAAACCCCCGCTGGGCGATGACGGGACATGTCGATGGTTCGACGGCGCGTATAGCGCCGTGCGTCATCTTGGCCTCGCCGGCCCTTGCTAGGTCGGTCCGACCACCTTCGACCAAGACGAGACGTATCGACGTCCCGTTGGCGGTGTCGGCAGCGCCGTAGGCGCTTTTCAGTACCTCTGGCTTTCTCTCACGCCCTCTATCTCGCCGTCTATGGCTACGTCGCGTGATTGTGTAAGTAGATACACCTTTGCCTTCCCAATCTATCACTCACTGCAATGTCCCCGCATAGCAACGATGGTATAGATCGACATCCCGAGAGCTGCGTGCTTGTCACGAGCTCCCCGCTGGTACCGCGCACTCGATTCGCGGCATGACCCCTGCTGCCTTGTGTCTGCGTGCACACTTGGTCTTCCGCGCCCCGGAATCGCGAAGACGGGACGTATCGCCGTCCGCGGAGCGGTGTTGGATGGCGCTCATGTCTCTATGCCAACGCCGAGTCGCTTCGTCGTCCCCGAGGAGGACAGGATGTATCGTCGTCGTGGGAGCGGTGCCGAAGACGTCGTGTCATGGAGCGGCGCTCTCACGGCTGTGCCGAACTGTCCTCGATGGCTTCGTGAGTGGAATCCGTCTTTCGCTGTCGGTCTTGACTGACTTTTGGCATCCTCACCTAGCAAAGATGAGACACATCGACTTCCCGCCAGGGGCGTGCCTGACTCTTCCAGACGATAACCCTTCTCGGCCACGACGCTCGTGCGGTGTCTGCCCTCGCCATCCATCCCACACCGTCGATGTCGGTCTCGTCGAGCACTCGGTACGCAAAGATGGTATGTATCGCCGTCCGGGGAGCGGCGTTGCACGGGGCTGGGACCGCGCGCTAGCGTCGAGGTCGTTTCGTCGTTCCTGACAATGACGGGATGTATTGTTGTCTGACACCGACTCGAGGGCGCCCGCCATTGAGCGCCTCGCAGAGGCGCGACGCCTGCCGAGTATGTGAGTATGATTGACCCTTACTTCCTTCCCTGTCACTGACTTGGGGCCCGCGATTTAGCGGGGACGGGTCGTTGACCTGCAACGGGTGGGTGCGCGCGCCCGCCGCGGCCACCGACAGACAGCATGACTCCCTCGACATCCATCCTCGCCGTCGACTCCCCGCCGCCTCCCTCTCCGCTCCGACAAAGTGCCCGTATGCGAATACGGGACGTATCGCCGCACCGGAAGCTGCGTGCTCGCACGCGGCTATGGTGGCTCTAGGCGATACCCTTCGCGTTCGCCGCCCTTGCGCGCGGTCTACCCCCTCCCGTCGACTCTACCCGGTACCGTCGACGTCGTCCCCACGTGGTCTGGTGAGGCCCTCCGGTCAGCAAAGACGGGATGTATCGCGTTCCCGCGAGCGGCGTGAAGCCCCGCTCCATGTCTGAATTTATCAAGCGGGGGTCCTCTGCGCCGTGTGTTCGTGGATGTCGGACTCGTTGCGACGCGGCTCTCCGAGGCTGGATTCTCAATGGTTTACGGTGCTCTGAGCGTCATGTTTCTTATTCAGCCACTAATCAAGACTTTTCGGTACAGCCAAAGCATGTGGGATGCCTCCAGGAGCTGCTGACACGCAGGCGATACTCTACGACGATGCTACGCTGCCCATCGCCTTCCGCTGAGCGGGTCGCGATGCTTCGTCGGTGAGCACGTCTGCTAGCTCCCGCTGACGCTCTTCTCGCCGTGGATGGCAGGCTTCGATGCCCACTGCGCCCATGCGCTCGGACGAAGACGCGGCGTATCCTCGCCGGCCGTCGGAGAGGGGGCATGTCGCGATTCGGCGAGCGGGGGTCTTGGTCGGCTCTCGGGCAGGGGGTTGGAGGGGGGGGGGCCATGATTGTCGAGGAGCGGATGAGAGGGAGGGGTGGAGCTGGTGAGTTCTATTTGCTGTGGCTCGGAGTGTGGCACTGACGGTGTGTCGATAGGAGTTGACGCCATAGCTCTGGAGGGGGAGCGGACGGGGGAGGTGTATTCCGTAGTCCATAAAGATGTACATTATCGAAACTACTCGTACGCGAACCTTGACCCTAAATCGGAGCCACCATGTATGCCGTCGTGGCCAGGGCGAATAAGGCGCGAGTCGGGAGAACGGGATGTGTGGCAGTAAGATGAGCTTAGGGCAGGCTGTACCAGAGGTCAAAGACTATACAGCTATACCAAACCCCCCTCTTTACCTTGCAGTTGAGGGCCGGGTCAAGGAGACTTGCAGCACTTTTTTATTTGGTTCCAGCGCCTACGCACGGCTATCACTGCACAAACAGAGGATACGGGGTCAGACGGCGGGGAACCAGACACGGCGAGTTGACGTTCAGCCCACTCGCTCCAAGGACAGCGTCAGTCTGCCTTCATCCGATGCGGACAGCGTCAGTCTGTCTTCATCCGATGCGGGCAGCGTTATCTACCCAACCCGACTCGGCGTAGCATCGCACGCACACGTCCAGTACTTGGACATTCCACGACATTGACACCGGCGCCTAGATATCGCCGGAAAAGGAAACACGCCTGTCCGTCCCAGCGACACTTGACACCTCCCACACGGCCCTGCCCGCCGGCCCCTCTCTCTTTTCCTCCCGCCTCTCACCGTACGGACGCCCAGCATGTCCGCCTCTTGGCCCGCCCAGGACGGCGCCGGCAGCGACGAAGACCGCCGCCGCCGCTCCGACTCGACGTCGCCCCTGTCCGGCTCGTCCGACGAGTCCACGCCCAGCGGCAGCCAGAGCGCCACCACCACCACCACCAGCGCCAGCGCCAGCGCCGCGTACCCGCCGCCGCCGCCCTCGCCGTCCGTCGAGCAGCCGCTCCTCCCCGCCGCCGACCGCCCCCCGCAGCGCTCGCTCTCCTCCGGCGCGTTCGTCTCGTCCCCGCTCAACCCGAACCACCCCGCCTCCCCTCCGCCCCCGCCCCAGCCGCGCTCCCGCCCCGTCTCGCGCGCGGGCAGCATGCTCTTCACCCGCATCGCGAGCGAGGACTCGCAGGTCCTCACCGGCCAGCGCGGGTCCATGCTGCTCTACCGCCTCGCGAGCGACGACGACAACGGCGAGCTGCTCCCCCCGCCACGCGCCCTCGCCGGCGGCAGCAACCGCGACTCGGTCATCTCCAGCTCCGGCGACTCCGTCTTCTCCATCTCGTCCGACTCCAAGTACCCCTCCGGCTCGCTCACCCACCCGCGCGGGCTCATCCCG